GGCTTCTCTGTGCCCAGAGGCTCAAGCGTAAACTCCTGACCACTGCAAGGCCCTTAGTAACCCCCACATTCCTTTCTAGCCTTAGTATTTGTCTCTTAGATCCCAAACCCTTGCCATGCGGTACTATTCGGGAGGATCAGACAACAGTATGCTGTTTGATGCATATGGTTCTCTTTATCTGGGACGCCATCAACTTCCACACCCACCTGGTGGACACCAACTTACTCTTTAAGACTTGGGTCAACCAGGTGTGGTGGCTCATGCCTGTAACCCCAGCACTTTGGGAGGCTGAGGCAGGCAGATTACCTGAGGTTAGGAGGTCGAGACCAGCCTGGCCAACGTGGAGAAACCCTGTCTGTACTAAAAATACAAAAATTAGACAGGGGGGTGGCATGCATCTGTAATCCCAGCTACTCTGGAGGCTGAGACAGGAGAATCACTTAAACCTGGGAGGCGGAGGATTCAGTGAGCCGAGATAACACCACTGCACTCCAGCCTAGGTGACAGAACCAGAGTCTGTCTCCAAAAAAAAAAGGTGCAGTGGCTGAGATCAGGCTGGGGTACTCAGTACAGCAAACTGTAGGCACAGGAATAGGAGAAGGGAGTCCAGAGACTCCAAAGGACTCTGCCTCCTGGATTGTAAGACAGAGACAGACATATCTCGGCAGCTGCAGGGAAACCTGTTTAGAAACATGCTTCCTGATCATTTATTTTGAGTTGACACTGCATGCTGGGGTGCCCACAGCACCCCTCATCCCCAAACTCACTTCCCGAAATACTGAAAATATGCACAAAGTGTTAAACATTTTTCAAGTGCTCTGAGCCATGCATGAAAACCATCAGCAAACACTGGCTTGGAACTCACCCCTGTGGCATCTACGTATTTTTTTTCCATGTGAAACCAAATGGACACAGATTTGTTTTAAACAATCCAAACTTATATCATGCTTTAAATTCATGCTGTGGGACTTAACCAAAACCGAATTCTTCATCCACCCCTTCATTGCAAAAATACTATTTATTTTTCCTGCAAACGGACGAGGGTAAAACAAATGTATTTCTCTTGAGATGTGTGTATGTAGCATTTTGTTTTATTATTATTTTTTTCCTGGCCAAACTGCCGAAAGCCAAACGTGTCACGGAGTGACTGATACCGCCCTTGCCGGGAAAACCTTGATCTCTCATCAAGCACAAAACGGGAGACCTGGATTCTAGACCCGGTTTTGCCATGACGTAGGCGGGGTGATTTTGGGGATACCACCCATCTCTCTGCCGCTGGTCTCTGTTCCAAAAACTGGTGGGGTGGGGTTGGCCAAGAGAGAGGAACGGGTCTGAAACCCATCCAATCCTAAAATCCTGTGACTTCAGATCAAAACATGGGTAAACAATGGCAAGATTTTTGTCCTGAAAAATATTTTAACGTGGACTCGGATGGGTCCTGAGAAGCCTTCTGTGGAATTCCCTCCTCCAGGGAAAACCCCCAGCCTCCCCTTCCCGAGTGAGGGGTGTCTGTCGTGTTTTCTCACCAGTCCCATCGTGTAGTCACCCCCATCTGCTGAAACCTCAGGTCTTTGCTGCTGATGGCACTGGCTTGGGAGGTGGCTGGGAAAGGTTTAAAGGCCTCAGGGTTACAAAAGGCCACCCTGGTTGGCAGCTCTTCCCGCACAATGCCAGCCTGTGGAGGAGGGTGGCTCTTGGGTGTTACAAACTCTTTTTCCCAGCCCGCAGATCCTCCGGTGGGGCTGCCCAGGGTGCAGGGAGTGACCAAGAAACCCTCAGTCGTGGGCACCATGTCTGCCAGAATTTCTGCATTTTTCTGTAAGCTGAGCCTCCGCTCTCCTGGCAAAGCCCGGGTCTCAGGGATGTGGTTAACGCCTCTGGGACTGGCATTCCCTGGACACATAAGCGGGGGGCTGAATACGGCTTGGTGTTGGTGTGGTCAGAGCAAGCCGGTGGGTGGAGGCCGTGGGAAGACACCCCACAACGGGACAGGCACAGACTCGTGATGACTGTTCCCCTGCAGCCCAAGGTCCTTCCATCTACATCTGGAGCTACCAGTGACAGAGAGGACTGCTTAGGGTTTTAAGGAGCCCGGCCCTGTAGCCCAAGACCAGGGGCCGAGTCCCAGGGTCAGGAAGTCAGGGGCTGGGGGTCTCATTCAGCCTCAGCCCCGGCCTAAGGATGTGACAAGTCCGTCCTCCTCTCTGGGCCTCTAAAAATGGGAAGATGGGGGCTGGCCTGCCAGTTTCTTTGTTCTGCGATTCCTCTGGCTCTCCCAGGGTCCCCCTCGCGTTGTATAGTGCTTTCTGCCCATGGAGCTGCCTCTGCTCAGCCCCTTCACCTCCCAGTTTCACTGCCCCTCGAGACCACTATGGGTGGGGGTCTTGCCAGGGAGCAGAAAAGAAAAGCTTAGCACTTTGTGCAAGCATAGGCTCTGGGTTCTGTCTGAGTTCTGGGCTGCAAGGAGGGTGTAGCCTCTTCAAAGCAGGAAAGAAAGCCTCAGTCCCTCGGGGCGGCCATCCAGAGCTGACATCACCTCCTGCTGTGCAGTCAAGAGGCTCGGGAGCCATGTGGATGGGACCCAGGGACCCCTGCACCCCTGTGGCTCTGGCTCCTACCTCCCCGCACCATGTTCCAGCCTCAGGACCCAATCCCAGCGCAGAGCCCACCAGCCCGGCCCACAGGGGCAAGGAGACTAGAGACCACGTGTGTTCCGCAGCACGGGGACGCCCTGCTGGCTGGACCTCGTCGCTGCTCCCTCAAGTCTGCCGAAAGAACGGGCGCCAGGGAATTCCTGACAAGAGCCCCACTGGCGTGCGGGCAGCGTTCCTGATCTCCAAGGCCATCTTTCCACACAGTTCCTCCCTTCCTGGCCACCCCCATCAGGCATTGTTTATTTCTCAGAACGAAGTGCCACGATCCTTCTCAGCTACCTTGACAGCCTTGATAGAAACCAGTCAACAAACAGAGCAGGGAAAAACAGCACCCCGAAGATGACATGCAGGACCCAGCCCTTTAGACAAAAGGGATCGGATCAGGTGTGCTAGATGGCCCTATCCAGTCAGACACACCCAGGCAAGCCCTGGAAAGGGACTCTAGAGAAAGCCAGAAGTACCGTGAGGCTCACAGACAGCCCCTGGAATGGAGCGTTTCAGGCAAAGCGGGCGTGGGAGGTCTGGGGTCAGCCTGGGACCTTGCTTGTTTTCCCCAGGGAAGTCCGTCACTTTCGAGGACAGGGTGCTGTCACCCACATTGCTCCTATTTGATCCCAAATCGTGCTCCAGGGAGGGGAGGGCAGAGACGAAGCAGGGGGCAAGTTTAGTGTTGGGGGGCCTCGGGGAGGGCTCTTTTCGAAAGTGAGGTCTCCCTGTGGTCCAGCATGGCTGGTAGAAAAGTGTCATTGGAAGCACCTACTGTGCCATACCACCCTCAATGTGCTGGTTTCATCTGAAGGACTTGCTGAGACCAAGGAATCATGAAAACAGTGTATCGTTTCAGTCAGAGTTTACATCTTGGCTGATACGAGTGACTGAAGGGAAGGCAGTTGAAGCACCGGATGTGTAGTGATGGCCGAGAATAATCCTATAATGATCTGAAGGGTTCGGCAGGCACCAAGAAGTGAGCTGAAGTTTCATCATAGAGAAATGTTAGATGGTGTGGGAAGATCAATGAATGAGCAGTTAATCATTTTTATTATCGAGTGTGTTTTGCGGGTATTGGCCATCAGTGTTTGCATAGCTGAAGTACCATGATGATTTTTCACGTCATCAGTCATGGTTATAGTCCACGTGGGAATAATGACACATATATTCCTTACTAAGTGTTCCTTTTGGTGATGGGGCTTGGAGGTTTCTCTTCAAAACCTTCTCCTGTTTATGGAGGGCTAGGGCTAATTATTAGCAGTGCTGGGGTGTGGTATTGGGTTAAATTTTGGTGGAGTTGATAGTCTTTTTGATTTATTTGGGTGGCATGAGACCCCTCTCTGTGTCCAGCTTGTGACTCTGCAGTGGCCCCTGTCCCTGAGTGTCCACAGGGGAGGCTATAACACAGGGACTCTTTCCCCAGGCCTGTCCTCCTACAGCCAAGACCGGAGCCCAGATGCCACAGGCAGCAATATTCCACTTGCGCCCTCACACCGGACAGAACCAACTCACACCACACACTGGGGTTGGGATTTTTCCTTTTGCTCTTTTTAAAACTTGGCTAAGATACTCTGGTCATTATTTCTCTGGCAAGTCTCCAAGATTCTACATGTAGCCCTCTGGGGTGAAAATAAACCCTGGAAGAGTGGCACAATGAAATACGCTGGTTCTCTTGTCAACATTGGAGAAGAGACCACGGCGGAAAGACGCCCACTCCTAACTGGGTGGTCTGCCGGATCATGAGCTCTCCAGCGTCACTCCTCCATCAGCGGCAGAAGGGAAAAATGAAGGCGATGCCACTGTCTCTGCCCCTTTCCCCATGTAGCACCCAGGGAGGGGAGGCCTTTCACACGGTCAATAGCTGAATTTGTGCAAGCACCTCCGATGATTTTAGAAAGCGTGTCTGAGTGGGCGCATGACACAGAATAATCATCACGAACCGGTACTGAGTCCTCACCAGGTCCAGCGCGATCATAAACACATTACACGGATTAACTCATTCAATTCTCACAGTGGCCCTATGAAGTAAGGACTCTAGTTATCCCCATTTTATAGATAAGAACACTGAGGCACAGAGATTACACCCAGCTGGGCTAGTGAGTGGCCAGGGACAGCCTCCAGATCCATGCACACAACCTCCAGGTTTATGGCACCTCTAGAAATGTGGCCAGTGCCTCTGGGGTCTGTCAGCATCTCTTGCTAGACTGGCAGAGCCCTAAAAAAGGTAAGGAGGCTCCTTTGACACTTGAGCGCCAGCCATGGCTCCAGCCTCTGAACCTCCAAACTTACGGGGCTACTCAGGGGACAGCTAGCCCTGTGCCAACACCGTATCCCATGGCCCCAGCAGAATGTCCTTACCGGCATCTCCGGCTCTGTCTCCTTTTTCCCCTTTCTCTCCCTTTGGGCCTCGGTCACCTAAAACAGAGGAGGAAAAGTGCCATTAGGAATGGAAACAAATCCTAATTGCGAATAAAATATTACCTGCAGGAGACTGATGAACTCGAGACCAGAGAAACCCTCAGGTGGGAGCCAGCAGCAGCTGGAGGGTACAGCAGGCAGGAGAACAGGGCAGCCACCTCTGCCATCTGCCCTGGACACCCCGAGAAGGAGGCGGCACCGGTGAGAAAATCCCACCCCTTCATAAAGAACCAAAGAGCAGCCTAAAGAGCACGGGGAAGTTTGCAGGAAGAAGACAAGTCAAAGATACTTCTACTAAACAGTCAAGGTTTTAGAAGCTCATATCCAAGTTTGTTTTGGTTTTGTTTGTTTGTTTTCTTTTTTGAGACGCAGTTTTGCTGTTGTTGCCCAGGCTGGAGCGCAGTGGTGTGATCCTGGCTCACTGCAGCCTCTGCTTCCTGGGTTCAAGTGATTCTCCTGCCTCAGCCTCCTGAGTAGGTGGCACTACAGGCCTGTGCCACCATGCCTGGCTAATTTTTGTATTTTAGTAGAGACGGGGTTTCTCTATGTTGGTCAGGCTGGTCTCGAACTCCCAACCTCAGGTGATCGCCTGCCTTGGCCTCCTAAAGTGCTAGGATCACAGGCATGAGCCACCATGCAAGCCTCCAAGTTTGTGCTAATGAGACCAGGGAAAACAAGGGAGAGGGTGCTTTAGTTAAACGGGGAGAGAGGCGGGTTCTATGTCGATTAGGTTTTTCCGTGGGAAAGACCATAAAACATGGATGTGAGATACCAGGGAACTGTGGTATTTCCTTCCCAGGATATGCCTAAAGGAGAATACCTCTTTGGCCAGCTGGCATCTCTCTCTACAAAGAAGAAAAAATCCTGGCACCACTCACTGGGCATTAAAATGACAAGGGATTTCTATTCCAAGGACCTCCAGAAAGACATCCACAAATCAACAGCCCAGAGCATACTGTTTGGTGAAAAAAGCAAGCCAACAAATTCCAGGGGAGAATGTCCAGGATGATTCAAGATGAAAAAAAAGAAAAAGGCAGCATATATATAGGAATGTGCTCAGAAAAAGATCTGGCAGGATGTGCTCCAAGGTATTGATGGTAGTTATTCTAAAGAATAAGAGCTGGGGGAACTGAGAGGTGGACACTTTGCTTTATGCACTTCTGTGTTGTCTAATTTGTTCTCTCTCTCTCTCTCTCTCTCTCTCTCTCTCTCTCTAAGACAGGGTCTCACTGTCACCCAGGCCCAAGACTGCAGTGCAGTGGTGCAGTCTTGACTTACTGCAATCTCCACTTCCTGGATTCAAGCAATTCTCCTGCCTCAGCTTCCCAAGTAGCTGGGATCACAGGTGTGTACCACCATGCCTGGCTAATCTTTGTATTTTTGGTAGAGACAGGGTTTTGCGATATTAGCCAGGCTGGTCTCAAACTCCTGGCCTCAAGCAATCTGCTCTCCTTGGCCTCCCAAAGTGCTGGGATTACAGAAATGAGCCACCTTGCCTAGTCTCTAATTTTATTTTCCACAAGCATGTGCTGCTTTTACAACTTGTTTTAAAATCAACTTTTTAAAATGGGATCATAAAAGGAAGGAAAGCCTCAGCCTGTTTCATTGCTGACCAGAAAGTAAAATAAAATTTCTCAGTGATCCAAGATCAAGGGATCATCCTAGACATGGGGTGGCAATGATTAGCAGGAGTTGTTTCTTAGTTTTCATTTTAACAAGTAAGGAGTAGAAAGCCTGGGTACAGGGCATCAGAAGTCCTCCATCTTCCGCAGCGACGCTAGGAGGTTTGCACAATCTTGAAGTGAGCATGAAAAGACAGACTGATTATAAAATAGGTTTTCCTAAAAATGAACAAGAGGACTACCCACAGGAAGAAGGGCAGATCGGAAGGAACATTTTTTGGCACTGGAAATCTGAGAATTGAATTAAAGTTGTAAATGTTGGGGGAATAAGAGTATTTAGAAGGTCAGGCGTCTGGCAGGACTGGGGAGAAGGGTGGTCCTGGCCCTGCAGCCTTGGTGTCTGCCCCACAGGGCACCCTGCTGGCCTTCTCTGAGCTGCAACCTACCGAACACTCCCTTGCATTTCTACCAGGACTTGAGCATTTGCACATGCACGCTCGCTCAGTCCTCCTGACAGCCCTGTGAAATATACCATCATGAGGGTTTCGAGATTTGCGTGTGTGTGTGTTTTGTTTTGTTTTAGAGATGAGCTCTTGCTCTGTCACCCAGGCTGGAGTGCAGTGGCACAATCAGAGCTCACTGCAGCCTCCAACTCCTGGATTCAAGAGATCAGCCTCCCAAGTAGCTGGGACTGCAGCTACATGCCATCACATTGGGCTAATTATTTTATTTTTTTTTGTCAAAATGGGGTCTTGCTGTGTCGCCCAGGCTGATCTCAAACTCTTGAGCTCAAGCAATCCTCCTGCCTGGGCCTCTCAAAATGCTGGGACTACAGGCATGAGTCACCACACCTGGCTGAGGGTTTCTAGTTTTTAGTGGAAAAACTAAAGTATTTAACAAGGTGAAGTGACTTGCCTGAGGTTGCCCTTCTGGTCCCTGGCACTGTGATAAGAGTCCTGGTCCCCCACACCAATGCCCACATGCTGTCTGGGGCTGGTAGTGAGGCTCAGGGAAAACCGAGATTGTTATTACCTTTGAACCCACGCATGCCCATTGGTCCTGTGGCCCCCAGCTTCCCATCGTCACCTTTGGGCCCGGGCAGTCCTGGGGTACCTCTCTCCCCGGGCAGACCTCGGTAGAAAACAGACAAATGGCAGCGCCTCGGATGCAGAACAGGAAGGGCCCTCAGAGGTCATCCCAGGTTCACCTTGTCACCCAGGCTGGAGTACAGTGGTGCGATCTTGGCTCACTGCAACCTCCGCCTCCCAGGTTGAAGCAATCCTCCCGCCTTACCCTCTCGAGTAGCTGGGATTACAGGTGCCCACCACCACACCTGGCTAATATTTGTATTTTTAGTAGAGACAGGGTTTCACCATATTGGCCAGGCTGTTCTCAAACTCCTGACCTAAGTGATCTGCCTACCTCGGCCTCCCAAAGTGTTAGAATTATAGGCGGGAGCCACCGCACCCAGCCTAGAATCAGCAAACACTTTTTTGAGTGCTTTCTATGTGCCAGGCCCTGCTCTGGATGCTTTTCATGAAGTATCTCATTTAATCATCACAACACACCAGGAGGAATTATTCTGCCTATGTTACAAATGAGGACACAGGAGCTCAGAGAGATTAAGTAAACTGCCCAAGGTCACACAGCAGTGTTGGAGGCAGGATCTGAGCCCTGCTCTTGCTGAAATGGACGGTAAGCCTCAGTTTATGCTGGATCAACAAGGCTTACTGGGGACTGGGGTAGGAGGAAGATGAAATCGTTTCTCATTTTATTTAAGAAAAAAAAAATCCCTTCCCTTGTATAAATACAGGGAGGTATAGCAAAAGGGACTGGAGGCAAGGTCAGTAAATGGATGGCCTGCTGCTGATCAAGTCCCTGGGCTCCTGGCCACAGGGCCCCTTGGTCACCGCCTGTCGTGACAGCGCCACGCAGAGCCAGCATAAACAAGTGTTTGAGTGAGTGAAAGCCCTGGTCCTCCATGAGGCCTGGCCTTAGCACAGTTATCTCTGCAAAGCAGAGCACCCTTAATTACCTAATTGTTCTTTCCTGCTTGGAATGTGAGTTGGTCTGCTTTGGGCTTTTTCTGGGACTTGGAGAATCTGTCTCTCAGTAATGAATGATTCTGTAGTCCTAAGGTCCAGGGGCTGGAAGGAGACAGGTTTCTGGGAGAGGGCTGATTGGGCTTTCTCCTTTTCCCTCCTAATACAACGTATCTGTTTCCAGAGTCCAGCGGCTCCACTGCCACAAAATTCCTGATCTAGCATAAGCTGGGCCCCAGGCTCCCCATCTTATGACTCTCTGGGGCAGAAAATGTGGTTCCAGACCCCCATGAACCCCTGTCCAGCCTCAGTGCTGACTTGAGCGTGGTCCTGAGAGGGCAGGGCCGGGAGTAGAGCCTGGGCTGGGAGCTCTCCTTCCCCCACGCACTGTCTCCTCACCCGTGTTTGCGACGTCCTAGAGATTTGGGAAGCAGATGGTTTGGAGGTATAATTCCTAAAATAAATAACCAGACACCTTTCTCCCTCTATTTCCTTTCCTTCCTTCACTTAGAAGACCACACTCTCCCAGCAAAATGTTGCATGCAGCACAGGCCCAGGAACGGACAGACCGGCAGGCAAGGTACGGTGGGGAACCCAACGGGAGCTTCGGAGACAGTGAGCCTCGGAAGAACCTTGTCTTTCTAGAAGTCCCAAAGCACCCTCCCCACCAGCCACTGACTCTTTAGGGCTGTCGATAGGAGCAGCAGGACGGGGAGGGGAGGGGAGGGGTCAAAAGGGGAAGAGACAGGTATTAATGACCCATTTGTAGACCCGGGCAGGGTCAGAAGGAGTCATGGTTGGCGGGGGAGGGTGACAGGTGGCTGGTGATCAGGAAATGCAGATGGGGCAGCACCTTCGAAGGGTTAGTTGGGATCTCAAAACATCTCCAACTCCTTTGGCAGGTCCTGCTCACACGGCCCCCGGCTCCCGGGCTGGGAAGGGGCTTCAGGGAGCTACACGCCTGCCCCGTACCTTTTCCTTCAGATTGTGGCACTTCCTAATAAATAGTATGTGCTGCACCCCGCTGTGACACCAACAATCTCTGAGTCTCTTGTTGGAACTGAGCGCTTGAGGCAGAGCTGATTGGACGCTCCCCTGGGGAGCCAAGTCATTTATAACACCAAGAAAGTAGGGGTCAGAGATGGATTGGGGGTCTCTCCCAGGTCCCTCCCAGGGGCACACCCATTACCTCGAAGTCCAGGCAATCCAGGGATACCAGGCCTGCCTTCCCTTCCTTCATCCCCCTGATCACCTTTGGGTCCGGGTGGCCCTGGAAAGGCAAAAACAGCATCAAGGTTAGGGGACTGCCTTCTGGGGCAGGACCCGGTCAGCTGCCGAGGAAACAAAACGCCCTCTCGGAGGAGGGGAAGGGCAGCATCAGCTTTGGAAACTCACAGGGAACCCCCAGCCCAGTCTCGGGGCATCAGGAAAGGCTTCCCGGAAGAAGTCATATCCGAAGGGAAATCTCAAAGAGAAATAGGAGTTAGCTGAGTAAACAGAGGGGTGGGTGAGTGTGCTATGGACTGAATGTGTGTGGCCCCTCCCAAAACCATATGTGGAATCCCTAATCCCCAATGTCATAGCTTTAGGAGGTGGGGTCCTTCGGAGGTGATTAGGTTTTGATGAAGTCATGGGGGTGAGCCCATATGTTGGGATTAGTGGTTTTATAAGAGAAGATGCTAGGGAGTTCTCTCGTTCTCTCTCTCTCTCTCTCTCTCTCTCTCTCTCTCTCGTTCTCTCTCTCTCAAAGGCTGAAAGTCAAGAGAGATATGTAAGCCCCAGCGGGGTAAGAGGCGGGGGACACACTGTGGAGAGAAAGCGGGGCTCTTAGAGACCCAGCACCTCCTGACGGCACCAGAGGCCACAGAGGGACCTGAGAGAAGAGCCCAATCAGAGCTGTACACATTAGGAAGATGGCTTAGGCTGCGGTGTGGAAAATGGGGTGGAACAGGAGGGAGGCCGAGGCAGAGCCTTCAGTCCAGCCAGGTGAGAGGTGAGAGCCCTGGTCGAGGGGCGGGGCCATCAGAGGGATGTCGGGGACACGTACTGAAGTTGCTTAGAAAGCAGAAGAGATTGACTGGCGTTAGTGGGGGAGGAAGAGGCCAGAGTCGTGCTCGGATGTCTGACTTCCGCGCCTGGATGGAAGAAGCGTTTCTAACCTCTCCTGAGAGGGCTGCCCTCCAGGATGGGGCTCCCACGTGGCAGGGATTCTGAGATATGGGATCGGATTCAGTCCCCACGACAATGCCAGGTGCCGCAGTTACACACTGTACCACATAGCCGATGAGCGAGTGAGGCAGCTGTGGTTTCAACTCACATCTGACCTGCGTGTGTCGACGCTGCAACACCCACAGGGCTAGACATCTCACCAGCTGCAGAAGCTTCTTGCCAGCCATTGCTGCACCTGCTGTCCCCAGGCCAGTCAGCCCCGAGCACCCCCTGCCAACCTCCTCCAGTCACTACCAGCTCTCAGGTGGCTCACTGCCCCTTTCCCTCAAAACCCTCTCTGACTCATCATCCATGCTGAAAGCTGGCAGGAGCTGCTTGGATGTGCGCACTTGGAGGCATCTGACCAGTAATCTCACCCTGCCTTGTCCTGTTGCCATAGTGACTGTGTTCTGTCTTTCTGAAAAGAATTGCCAGCTCCCTGAACAGGGCCACACCCTTTGCATCCCTGTACCTGCTATGAAGACACAGACTGCAAGCTCTCACCTCCTGCTGCTTTTCAAGAGAAAAGGAGGACTGTGAAGTCAGCTGTGGCAGCTCATGCTGTAATCCAGCACTTTGGGAGGCTGAGTCAGGTGGATCACCTGAGGTCAGGAGTTTGAGGCCAGACTGGCCGATGTGGTGAAACCTTATTTGTATTAAAAATATAAAAATCAGCCGGGTGTGGTGGTGGGCACCTGTAATCCCAGCTACTCCAGAGGCTGAGCAGGAGAATCTCTTCAACCTGGGAGGTGGAGGCTGCAGTGAGCTGAGATTGCGTCATCGCACTCCAGCCTGGGTGACAAGAGAGAAACTGTCTCCAAAGAAAAAAAAAAAAAAAAAAAGAGGAGGACCATGAAAAATGGCCTTTATAACTTTATAATGTCTCCATACCCTGTTTACCAGGAACCTCAGAATATGACTTTATTTGGAAATAGGCTCTTTGCAGACATAATGAGTTAAGTTGAGGTTGTCCTGGAGTAGGACAGGCCTCAGGCCAATGGCTGGTGTCCTTATGAGAAGAGAAAATAGAGACACAGAGATATGAAAGCATCATGTGGCCACGGAGGTGGTGATGGGAGTGACACATTCCCAAGCCAAGAAACAACAAGGACTGCCAGCAAGCACCAGCGGCTAGGAAGGGCCAAGGAAGGGTCCCCCTGAGTTTTCAGAGGGAACGTGGCCCTGCAGACACCTGGATTTCAGACTTCGAGCCTCCAGAACTGTGAGAAAATAAGCTTCTGTGGAACCACCGAGTTTATGACGCTTTGTTATGGCAGCCCCAGGAAACCAAAACACACAGACTCACAGCCCAGCAGTAACGTCTTGCACAATAAATATTTGATGAATGAATGAGTATATGAGATCAGAAAGTGTTAATAATACATAGAAAACAACCAGCCAGCCAAGGTCAAGATGTACTGATACCCTCCTCACGCTGGCGCTGTCCTCAGACTCTAACCAAACTTGACGGCTGTTTAATAATTCCATGGCACGCAGGCAAGGAAAAAAAGTAGTCAACAGTTCTTCAATTCATAAGGCATACAAATCATTTAAGAAGGACTAGGTTTTGTGATCCCAGTTTTCAGACCACAGGATTGAGTCAGAGAACCTGTTGGGAACAGACCAAAGATGGCGGAGAAACGAAGGGTGGAGTCAGGAAGCAAATGGGCTCCAGAACCCCTTCCCACGGGTCTCCTCTTCAGGCCAAGGCTGCAGCAAAGGGAACCAGGAGAGGGTGCCCAGATCTCTACTGCTGGGCTGAAGGCCCACCCCTTTCTCTCTTCCCCGCCTTCACCACCCCACCCCGCTGGGAACCCAGGTGCTCTAGGAACCGAGCTGGTCACAGACGAAAGGACTGCAATTCCCTGACTGTGAGGTGTGCTGACAATTTCACCTGTCCCTCAGGTGCAGGGGCAACCTGCATGTGGGGAGGGTCTTCCCAGGAGTCAGTCTCGCCAAGGGAGGATGTACCCAAAGACCCTGATGTGGGGCCTCTGGGTGGTACACATCATCTGGAAGGCGGGTTTTGAGCATGGATATCGAGTCTTGAGTTTGAGTCCTGATTCTATTAAATGAAGGTAAAAAAAATTCCTTTCTCATATAGCTGTGTAGCGAGCACTGAGTGGATTCAGGGGCATGATGACTAGAGGGCTTTGCAGTGGTGAGTGGTGGTGGGACGCCCTCATCACCTCACTTTGCATAACCCCTCCTCACTTTGCATAACCCCTCCTTACTTTGCATAACTCCTCCCACTTTGCATGACACCTCTCCTCACTTTGCATAACTCCTCCTTACGTTGCATAACCCCTCCCATCTTGCATAACCCCTCCTCACTTTGCATAGCTCCTCCTTACGTTGCATAACCCCTCCTACTTTACATAACCCCTCCCACTTTGCATAATGCCTCCTCGGAACCTTTACAGATGACAATTTCTGGGTACTCCCGGCTCACCAGAAATCACCCTGTGGAACTTGGCTGGGTCATCCAGGGAGAGGCACGTCTCAAGAACATGCTATAGAGGGACATATACATATATGGAATCTAACTCTTTCCCAGGCTGGAGTGCAGTGGCATGATCTTGGATCACTGCAACCTCCACCTGTCACGTTCAAATGATTCTCCTGCCTCAGCCTCCCGAGTAGCTGGGACTACAGGTGCCACCACCACACCCAGCTAATTTTGTATTTTTAGTAGAGACTGGGTTTCGGCATGTTGGCCAGGCTGGTCTCCAACTCCTGACCTCGTGAGCCGCCCGCCTTGGCCTCCCAAAGTGCTGGGATTACAGGTGTGAGCCACCGTGCCCAGCCTGGTTTTTTTAAAATAGAACTATGTGGTTAGTGAGGGCCTTTACTAGAGATGAACTGGGGAGAAGGCGAGGTGGATAGTAAAGGTGAGCGCCCATCCCCAAGCCTTCGGCACGTCCTCAGGTGGTACTGGCCCGGCCGACACAGAAGGGCTGATGATTTGGACAGAGCCTAGAGGGGCCAAGCCGCCAGGTGCTCCAAGGACCAAGTGTGTCCTTCAATCACTGCTGCTGCCCTTAGGTGAAGCAAAATCAGGATACGACTTTTTAGTGTGTTTACTGACGCTATCCTTTTTTTCAGAAACCCAGGCTGGAAATCTCGAGCCTGCTTGGATTCCTCTTTCCTGTCCACCTTTTGTGTCCCTTTCCAGCCACACACATCTGTGAGTCAAGGATTCTCATAAAGGAGGGTCTTTCTCATGACTCCACCTCCTTCCTCACTGCCTCCACCCTCGTCCGGTCCTTATGGCCTGGCTCCAGTCTTTATAGGAAGCACCCTGTCTCTGTTTCTCTCCAGCCCATGTGTGCCTTGCTGTCTGATCAATCTCTCCGAAATAACAAAGCAACAAAAGGGACTCAGAGCACGGAAGGGTCCCCTGACTGCGCCACAGGCGCAGCCTCCCCTGTCGACGCCCCTGCAGATCACTATCACTCACAGTCTGACCCCTTCTGCTGCATACTTACAGCTCAATGCTCACGGTCACCAACTTTCCTCCACCTCTGCACAAATGCTCTCCTCATGGTGTCCCTGAACATTAGCCAGATCCTGACTCCAGTTCCTCTTAGTCCTGAGGCTGCCTTCATGCCCACTGATCTGGTTTGGCTGTGTCCCCACCCAAATTGCATCTTGAATTGTAGCTCCCATAATTCCCACATGTTGTGAGAGGAACTCAGCAGGAGGTAACTGAATCATGGGGGTGGGTTTTCCCTGTGTTGTTCTCATGATAGTAAATAAGTCTCACGAGATGTGATGGTTTTATAAGGGCAGTTCCCCTGCACACACTCTCTTGCTGCCGCCATGTTAGACGTGCCTTTGCTCTTCCTTTGCCTTCTGCCATGGTTGTGAGCCTTCCCCAGCCATGTGGAACTTTGAGTCCATCAAACCTCTTTTTCTTTATAAATTAGCCAGTCTCAGGTAGGCTTTTATCAGCAGTGTGAGAACAGATGAATACAGCCACCCTTCTGATTTCTTAGTGTTCCACTGGCAGAGCCCTCAAATCTCAGATCTGGAAGGCAGTGGGGAGATCTTCATGCACAA